AATAAAACTAACTCTAAACCCTAACACTAACCCTAACCCTAACCCTAAAAAATGTCACCCAAAAAATTTTAAAATTTCCTAAAAAAATAGAAAAATTTCATTTTAATCTGATTTCATTTTAATCTGCCACAATAATTAAGTAATAGATATCGATATAGTACACAATTATTATAACTTCACTGTTCTTATAATACTTTAGATAGTACAAATAGAAATATTTTAATTAATGTTTAAACAAACTTATTGATTCAATATTTTTAATAAATGAAATATATAATTTTTTATTAGTTAAACATTGCATTATCAGTTAAAAATCTCAATTTTACATTTCCAGCATAACAATTATGACCTGACATATCATAAAATCCTTTCATGGTCTATTCAATATATAATTCAGTTCGAGAGTTACAATTCATTTCGTCTACTAATTTAACCCAACTAAGTTGACCATTACCATAATCTCGTTCTCCCCACATAGCATCATTAAAAATATTTGTTAATATATTATATGAATTGTCTCCACTAAAATGACATTGATAAAAATTACCACATGGAGAATATCGTGTAAGATATTTACCAAATATTCCTACAAAAGCATTTTCACTACAATGTAAAGAAAAAACTTGATTTCCAACAGTACGATGATGCTTTTTTAGACGCTTCTGAATTTCCCAGACTATAACTTTTTTAACATGATCAAGCTCATAGTTAGGTAATGGTAATATATGAGAAGGTAGTATATTATGTTCTTTGTGTTTTATTGTTTCATGACGTTGAAGACCACATTTAGTTTTATAAGATCGTGAACGCGTACAAAGAGTGCAAGTAAATCTTGAAGTACTAATAGAATTAGACATAACTAAATATTTTAAATAGTTAATATATAAAAAAACATATATAACTATAAATTCTAGCATACTATATACCTATTAAAAAAAAAAGATGGGTTGGGACTTTGAATGATGGGTTCTAGCATGTTTGCTTATATTTTTAATAGTAAATAAATATTATTAAGGTTCTATCTAAATGATTTTCATACTCACATAATATTAAAATAGGGTACGTTTTAAAAAATATACTAATAAATTTTGGGGTACTATAGTATAATTTTTTAACTCTAAAAACTGATCAGGCCGATATGAATACTAAACTTGTCGAATTAAAAGTAGGGCCTCTTCATTTACTAGAAGATTATATAGGTGTTCTCCAAAATTTGACAAACATAGGTGAAGCAAAACATATTTGGATAATCAAATTTTGGTAGCACCTATGGACTATTCTGGGTAGCTTCATGTGCAATGTGCTATTAACCACAGGATCAAGCTTGGAGATTCTTCTGGTATACCGTAGCAGGTTCTTCATATTGTGCCAATGATTGGGCCTCTACACGTATCCTTAAATAGTTGTGAATCTGTATTTCTTGTTAATTATGATTTTTTTGAAAACCTTTTTCACAATATTTATGGAAGTGGGAAGGTATTGGCTAAAAAGCCAAAGCCTTACAAAATTAATCTTTTATTAGAAATAGCATTTAAAGGCTGGTCTCAAATTCATTTAATTGTTTTGTGGAAATTTGAGTGGTCAAAAGATCCTAAAGTCAGATATTTAATCAATCTTCTGGATAACTATATTTCGCTGGTCTTGGACTTTTATTCTGTTATATTTCATAGTGGGAATTGGCCAGTTTATCGAGAAGTGATGTTTCGTATTTGGTGTATTTTTTATCAATACAAACGAAAAAATTACAATAAGCTTCCACTAGCCTTTATGAGCAATACATTTTATTGGAATAGTATTAATCATCCTATTGCTCAAACACTTGCTAATTCTCTCTATGTATTTAATAATTATTTTGTAGAAAATTTTCATAGCTCAATTCGACATCGAGTCCAGCCTTCCAATACGGCAGATCAAATTATTCGAGAGGTGCAGATAATAGATCTAAAATGTAACAATAATAATTTTGTAGAAACTTTTTCTAATAATCATAATATTATTTATTCGGCGAGGCAACTAGAGTATCTTGAAAAATGATCTGCTGTATTTCTACTAAAGCTTTTTACAAATATTTATAACAATCTAGATCAATCAGTCACAACGAATTCAAAATATAGTTTTCCATCGCATGGATATGATATTGATATCAAGACATTGCTGATAGGTTGGAATACTGCACATCCTCCACAAAATGATAAGTACTGTGATTTGGAGAACTGTACAAGAATGAATAAGGTAGGATTTATACTTATTTGTGGTCATGCTTATCACTTTGAATGTTTTTTGTTTAGGTTAGGTAGCCAGTGTAAATATTGCAAGGATTATCTTATAAGTGGGATAGAAAAAAACTGTAAAGCTTTTGATGAAAGTGTAAGTTCAATTGGAACAGTAGCAGCTGCTGCAGCAGACGATGATTCAAACATTCCTGAAACAACTAATACTGATGCTGCTGAAGTTGTTAATATAGTTTTAAACAGTAATATAGATCAGTTATATAGTAATGCCATGAATAATTTTAGTGCTGCATAGTTTTATTTATAATATTAATAAAATTTTATTTTAAAAAAAAATTTTCTGTTGCCATTGTTATCATTGTTATCCGCGTATTGTATATGTATAGCTAATAAAATAAATAATAAATAAAAAATACAGCTATCATTAAAAATGATTATTTTAAGAGGAATTTACATATAGGGGCCCAAGATTTGAAAAAATTTTACAAATAAAGACTTTGCATTATGATGATAGTAGTTCTTCGAATGTTATAACTTATATATGTATTGATTTATACATTTTACACTTCACTTTCGCTTAATGGACTCCCTATCGTTATGCCAAACTAGTAAATCAATATTTTGTAAAGGTGCTATACATTAATCAAAGATATTTAGAACTGAAGGAGCTCATTTTTTATTTGTAGAGAAAGTTAAATTACATTAAAAATCGACAAAAGTGGTTATAATTTTTACATAAAAAGGCGCTAAAAGAATAAATGCAATACTGATTAAAAAGTAATACGTTTAAATGTCAAAAGGCAATTACATTTATATAATTTTATATGCGATAAATTTGGACCCTTATATCACTTTGGGCCCTTATTTGTAATTATATTATATTATAATGTTGGAAATTGTTATCGAAATGGATTTGGAGTTGTAAAGAATGGACAAAAAGTATTTGAATATTATCAAAAAGCTGCAAACATGGGTGATGTTAATGGAACAAATTGGGTTGGATATTGTTATGAAAATGGAATTGGAGTTGAAAAGAATAAAAAAAAAGCATTCGAATATTATAAAAAATCAATTATTTTATTACAATCGATGATTCAAATTTATGATCTCTGATTGGATAAATTTAAATATCACGGCATAAAATGATCTACTAAAATTAGATTTACCACATCCAGCATATACAGCGAGCGAAGGTTTGCATCTAGTACTTAGTACTAGAACGAACGAACTGTACAGAACGATCTGTACAGAACGATCTAGCAAGAACATCAACCATAAATGGCAGGTGTAGATCATTCCTTTTACCGTATAAATGCCCACCTGCGTTAATTAATTGACCTGCGCGTTATTTCGATTACGCCCATGTGCGTTGTTTCGAAAAATATAGGTTAAATAAATAACCTTTAATTTTAATAAATATAGTTAGAAATAAAAAGTGCTCCGGAACTGGTTTGGTACTAAGCTTACCTGCTTTAATGCTCTAACAAAAGTTGTTCTTCATACTGATAACAACGGTAAATCATCAAAATGGCCCAGTTTATTTAGTATCAAATTCAGTTTGGAGCTACTTTTTACTTTTTTATTTTTTATGAGGGACGCGTTAATTCGGAACGCACATGGGCGTTAATTCGAAATTGCATATGCTATTTTTGAAGGACCTGATTTTCGAAATAACGCCCACGGGCGTTATTTCGGATTTATACGGTACATAATTACGAGGAAATTATCTTGACGATCGCACATCAAAGAATAAATAGGCGTATAGAAAAAACCGATCAAAGCACTGCAAGCCATAAATAGCAAAAAACCGGCACATACACGACCACAACGATACAACAAAATTGAGTAGGGGTAATGTACAATGCATGTGGCAGTGCAAAACCGTGAAATTATATACTAACTTTATAGATTAGTAACGTTTTTAGAATTCCCTTGAAATTAAACCTGAAGTCATCCTTCAAATCGTATCCATTAATCAGAGTACCCTATAAAGTGACAAATTTCGATTCTCCACACTAATTCTAAACTATAATTATATACCACACTACTTCGGGTAGATTCTTCGAAAGAAGTGTTTAGATTTGGTGAGTGGTGTACCTCTGGGATAGTCTACACTACATTAAGATTATTAATCTACAATCTCAACAATTCATACTGTTGGACAAATATTGATTCGGGGGATTTGATAATAATTCTGGGTTAAGTTTATATTTACAAATGATTCCTACAGTCACTCGTGGAGTATCTAAGAAACGAATGTATTATCGATTGTGCATTTGTTTAATAAAGAATCCTTTTATTAGGCAATGCGAAAACTTCTCTAACCAAGGGCCAAATTGCCTTTATTTATAATAATATTTTATTAAATGTCTACATTATCTGAAATGACTATCTAAACTGAATTATCCTTATAATCCTAGTTATCTTTATTGACCAAATTGTTCTTATTGACTATTCCTTTGATTAGTCCTGAAAGTGCTTTTTCGACGTTTCAATCCTTTCTGTTCGGTTAACCTAAATTTAATATCCCTAGTTTGCTGTACATTTAATTTATTATACTATACATTTTATTGATATATTCTAATATTTGGATTATTAGATTTTACAGTAAAGCTAAATTCATTAAATCTAATATCCAATAGTTTCAGTGAATTGTTTATGCAAAGTGCATTTTCTAGTGCTTTTCCTCCTTCTAATCCAAGCTTATTATTAGTAAGATCCAAAGTAGTCAACGTGGTATTTTTGCAAAGCGCATCTGCTAATGCTTTTGCTCCTTCTGATCCAAGTTCATTATTAGTAAGACACAACCTAGTTAGAGTGGTGTTCGTGCGAAGTACATCTGCTAATGCCTTTCCTACTTCTGATCCAAGATTATTATCATGAAAATTCAAGAAAGTTAGTGTGGAGTTCTTACAAAGTGCATCTGCTACTGCTTTTCCTCCTTCTGAACCAAGATTATTTCCACCAATACTTAAAGAAGTCAACATGGAGTTCTTGCAAAGTGCATTTGCTAATGCTTTTCCTCCTTCTGATCCAAAATTATTCGAATAAAGAAATAAAGAAGTTAAGGTGGTGTTTTTGCAAAGTGCATCTCCTAATACTATTCCTCCTTCTGATCCAAGATTATTTTTATCAAGACACAAATAAGTCAGCGTGGTGTTCTTGCAAAGTGCATTTGCTAATGCTATTCCTCCTTCTGATCCAAGATTATTATCTTGAAGAGTCAAGAAAGTTAGCGTGGTGTTCTTGCAAAGTGCATTTGCTAATGCTTTTCCACTCTCTGATCCAAGATTATTGCCGCTAAAAGATAATGAAGTCAGCGCAGTGTTATTGCATAGTGCATCTGCTAATGCTTTTCCTCCTTCTGATCCGAGATTATTATAAGAAAGTTTCAAGGAAGTCAGCGTGTAGTTCTTGCAAAGAGCATTTGCTAATGCTTTTCCTGCTTTTGGTCCAAGATTATTTCTACTAAGACTTAAAGAAGTCAGTGTGAAATTCTTGCAAAGCGCATTTGCTAATGCTTTTCCTTCTTCTGATCCAAGTTTAGTATTATTAAGATTCAAAGAAGTCAGCGTGGTGTTCTTGCAAAGTGCATTTGCTAATGCTTTTCCTCCTTCTGATCCAAGATTATTTTCACTAATACTTAAAGAAGTCAGCGCAGTGTTCTTGCATAGTGCACCTGCTAATGCTTTCCCTTCTTGCTGTCCAAGATTATTATAATCAAGATTCAAATATTTTAGTGTAGTGTTCTTGCAAAGTGCAGCTGCTATTGCTTTTCCACCCTCTGATCCAAGATTATAACGTTCAAGAATCAAAGAAGTCAGCGTGGTGTTCTTGTCGAGTGCACCTGTTAATATTGTTTTATTTGTTTTATTAATAGTATTGTCAAGTTGTAAATATTCAATATATTTACTTGTTCGCAAAAGCATGTGAATTAAAGAACATTCAATAGCATTTGCAAGTTCATAATTATCTCCTTCGAAGTAATATCCTTTATCTTTAAGCCAATTTTTGACACCATAGGCCAACTTATTTGATACAACTTCAATATAACTTTCGTATTTAAATAATGGCTTTGGACAATTTGGAAGAATAATTTTAAAGGGGATCAACTGAGCCTGATCTTTAGCATTTAATGCTAAAAACCATTTTTCTATAACTCTTTTGTCATAAAAATCAGGTACACTCCATAATATTGGAATAATAATTCTACACCATCGACGGTTTACAAGAAGGAATGAAAATAAGTTTTTATAATCAATTTTATTCATTTGAACATTATTATATGATCTATACTTAATTCGAAAATTATTAAATATTTCGATAAGGCATTCGTTTGGTAACGTTATCATTTTGAAAGGATTATTGAATTTGTATAATGGCAAAAAAAATCGGGTTTACCTCCAATTTATTGCGTGATTTTTAAAGTGATCTTCGATCAACGTTTAGTTCTTATGATTTGCACGTGATTTCCTTATTTTTATTTCATTCTATTTCATTTTTATTGTTTCATACTATTTCATACTAAATTATGCTAGCTCATGAGATTTTCTTTAGTGCTTTCTTAGAATCAAGATCTAAATAGTATCTTTATTGTATATATTTAACGTCTCAACTAGAGATGTGCCGCGTACAGTATTATACGTACAGTACCGTACGTACTGTGTGTACAGTACTGTACGCGAAAAATTTTGCGATCATTTTATAAGTACAATAAATTATACATTGATCAACCAATAAAATTAAGAATAATATATAGCAATAAGTCTCAGTATCGGTACTACGTATTTAATTTCTTGTTTAGAAAATATTAGGACAAACCTTTTTAAAGAAGAAGCACAAAATAAAAATTTTATATTAGTGATAGTGATGAAAATATTTAGAGTAAGGAATTTATTATCTTGTGATTTCTTTGTGGTCAATCCGATAGCATGATTGCATGCGTAATGTGAAAATGTTGATAAGCAAATTTCCAGTATTTTTGTCTAAGAAGCCACTTGCATTCTAACGAAAAAATACTTCTCGAAAAACTTTTGATATAAAACCTTTTTTAGTAAAGGCTACTCGAGAAAAAATGTAAAAGATTTGGTTTGAGAGCAGAAGATCCTACTGCCACTAGGATTTCCGGGGTAAGGTTGGGTTGATCTTAGTGATGAGTGACGAAATTTGACGAAATAGGTATTTCGTCAATTTCGTCACTTATAATTTCGTCAATTCATTGCGAAAATAATTTCGTAACTCATCACTAGTTGATCTTGATTAGCAAACAATATATTTTGTTTCCCTTCCCTATTTCATGAAAGCGAAGTTTTTATACATCTGAAGCTTTGCTATTACATTAAGTAATATGACTATTTAAGGCAGTGTTGGGAAGATTACTATGTCCAATTGTTTTCAAAGTTAATTGGACATATGTCCAAAACTAAATGTGCCGCAGTTTTTGTCTAATTTCCCAACACTGATTTAAGGTATCGAGGGTAAACAATACAGTCAAACCTCTCTAAATGCATTGTGACGGATCATATACTGTATTAAAATTTAGTCAAACGTGTATTTAAAGAGATATTGCATTTAAGAAGATAAAAATATATAAGTATTATATTAGTCGGGCACAAGTGAGTGAGTGCATTAGGGGTCTGACTGTACTTTTATATCATTTACAACCAGTGGCGTCATATTATTGTTCTCTATGAAAACTTTCGTTTCGAGCCAAACCCAACATGGCATTTACTAAATGTTATCTTCACATGTTAATCATTTGATCTGGTATTTTATTGGTCACGACCCTCGGTCATGTTCTTGATGCCGGATCTTATTTCCCAATTACACTATATAACTAGCGGTATCACATGTGGCGGGCGACTTCGTCGCCCGCTTGCAGTTTTTAAATGGTACTCAATTTAACATAGTATTACAAAAGTTTTTCTTTATATTATAAAATAACAATAAGGCGAAATTAAAATAGATAATAAAATTTTTTACGCTATTAGTAGTAAGGTATTGAATAAAGAGTAAAATCAATAAATGCATATTACTAAATCGTGCCTTACAGGTTTTGCATACTAAGGTTGTATAAACCGATAATCAAGTTCAAACAAAAAGACAGTCAAATTCGTAGACCTTCGCAAAAAAGGTCCGTGCGATTTTTGAACTTCTAGAGCTATAAAAATAGTATTATATGATTTCTGTAATTGGTACCTGAGCCGAAATCGGTGTGTGAATTAGCATGTTAAACCCACTCTCAATAAACGGATCTCGTTTGTAATTCACACATGCTGGTGTCAGGCTCTTAAAGTCAGACGGGTAGCCCAGGCCCTAATGTACCTTGAAGCCTGTTACCGGCGACTGGCATATGTGAGATGCAACCGGAGTCCGTTTGCTTAGAGTGAGATATTATGCTAATTACACATACTAATTTTGACTCAGGTACCAATTATAAAACACTATTTTTATAACCCCAAAAATTAAAAAATCGCACAGGCTTTTTTGCGTAGGCTTACAAATTCGCACATGTTATATGAATTAATAGTTTGATTAAATGATGGTAACTCATTATATTGCTATTCGATTTAAATAAATTTAATATCATTAGATTTATCATTTTATAATGAATCTAATAATCTTAAATTTATTTAAATCAGATCGCCAAATTATGAGTTATCACCACCTAATTAAACTATTCATTCGTGTTATATATTTCGGTGTGGCTCACTTCATCGATACTCATTTCGTAGATGTACCATTTTATCGACATTCAACTCAGTGACATCTTTGTTTTGCTGACACTTATTTTACTGAAAAGTTCATTTCACCAACAGCCTATTTCACTTAAGCTAATTTTAATTCTAGTCATTGTTAGGGTTAAGATTAGTAGAATTTATGAAAAAAAAACATAACGAATTGAGTGCTGGTGAAATAAACTGCCCTGTAAAATGAACTTGTCTGTAAAATGAACCTGTCTGTAAAATGAACTTGTCTGTAAAATAAGTGTTGGCAAAACAAAAATTGAGCGTCGATGAAATGTTACATCTACGAATTGAGTGTCAGTGAAGTGAGGTTTAAACGTATATTCACTAAGGCAATGATTATTGATTCATTACCATATCTACACGAGTGTAATATGTACAAACATGCAATAATTGTCATCCCGACAGGTAACTTACCAAATCTTCCCATTAACCACTAAACGTATTATGTACAAATATGAGATAATTCCTTGTGATTGTTGTCTTAACAGATTGCTTACTGAACATTTAAGATTTGATTTTAATTCTATGGATTCATAAAATCAAAAAAAAAAAAAAAATTCATCGATGTGGGATAAGTAATTATTGAGATATCATCATTTAAAATTCAAAAAATTTTAGACGATTATCAAAATAAAAATCGTGGCTAGCGCTAGGTTCTTTCCAAACTTTGAGCAATGATATCTCGTTAGTCACCTATCTAAAATCGATGAAAATTTTTTTATTTCAATTCTATGGATTTTATGGATTCATAAAATTAATACAAAAAAATTTTCATCGATTTTAGATAGGTAATTATCATCGCTCAAAGATGGAAAGAACTTAACCGCAGTCTTTGTTTTGATCATTATCTAAACATTTTTTTAACCTTTGAACGAAGCTATCTCGATAATTAATTACCTAATATCAATAAAAAATTTTTTATTCTGATGAATTTATAGAATTATAATAAAAAAACTTCATCGATTTTAGATAGGTCATTATCAAGCAATCATCGCTCAAAGTTTGGAAAGAACTTAGTCACAATTTTTATTTTGATAATTGTTTAAATTTTTTTTGAATTTTAAACAATGATATCTCAATAATCACCTACCTGATATCGATGAAAATTTCTTTATTTTAATTCCATGAATCCATAAAATAAAATAGAAAAAAAAATTCATCGATTTTTGATAGGTAACTATCGAGATAACATCGCTCAAAGTTTAGAAAGAACTTAATCGTGGTCTTTTAATTAAATTTTTAAGTTTTAAATGAGAATATCTAAAAAAAAAAATTTATTTTAATTCTATGAATTACTGAATTATAGAGTTAAATAATTGATTTTGAATAGGTAGTCATGATATGTATCATCGCTCAAAGTTTGGGAAAAAACTTGATCATGGTCTTGTTTTGATAATTTTAAATACAGATATATTGACAAATCCTTTTATTTAACTCTATAAATTTATAAAATTAAAATAAAAAAGTTTCATTGTCTTTGAATAGATAGCTATCAAGATATCATCGCTCAAAGTTTGGGATGAACTTAACAACGGTTTTTGTTTGATAATTGCATAAATTCTTTTAAACATTAACGATGATATCTCGATAACTACCTATCCAAAATTGATGAATTTTTTTATTTAATTCTATGGATTCATCGAATTAAGATTAAAAAAATTTTCAGTAATTTTTGATAGGTAGCTACTGTGATATCCTCATTCAAAGTTTGGGAAGAACCTAACTGCTATTTTTGTTTTGATAATTGCCTAAATTTTTTAAACTTTGGGCGATGATATCTTTATCTAGATCTTCCGTTCCTGGTTTCGTGCGATGACGTCACGCAGCTATCTAGTATAATATTATATTGTAGTTACGGTATTGCATTACAATATTGTGTTATTGTGGCATTATGACATTATAGCATTATAGTATACATTTTTTATGGCAATTAGATGCTATGCCGTAATTAATTCTACTACTGGTAAAATGCTGTAATTGCAATTCTACCGCCAACTATAGTCATGGTCTCCAGTAGATGCACAGGTGTGAGCTGAGTTCTAGATTGAACTGAAAGATCTTTGTCCACAGGTGATTATGCTTATGGGTTTAGCTCCTGTTTAAATTTTATATATGTGCAAAAACAAAATCTACTGATATACTATACGTATGTGAATCATTCATGCAGTTCTTTAGTTTATATATTATAATCTTGTAAGATTGTAATAAATCAACAAGAAAATCTATTTGAGAAGTTTGGATTAAATATATATATATATATATATATATACTGTATAATAAAAGGTAAAACTTGTAATTTTATATGTTTAATAACTAATATATGTTATATATTAAATGCCGTGTGCGTCCATGGTAAAATTTTTAACGAAGAACTTCTATGCTTAATGCTTTTATAATAAAATCATTTTGTATTACTCTGCAATTTGTACTACTTTAAAGTAGTTATCAGTTAAAAATTTATTGAGTTTGCATATGAACTTAAATTTCAATTTATGTTTTACATATAATGATCTGTGCCAAAATTTTTACCAGGTGACTGGCGGATCATCAATTAAATAATAAGATTATTTCATAGGTATGATATAATAATCTCATGTAACTACATAATCAAACAAATTTTTCTTTTTTAATAAATTAGACTTTATTATTACTATATATAGAAATTAATTATTTTTTTTTCTTAGCAAAATATGGGCAAAAGAAGTTATATTTTTGAATTGCGATGAATTTTGCTTGTAGAAAATACAAAAAAGTACTCCTTAAAATAGTTGCACTCTATCAACAGGTTTCAAGAAACTATAGAGTATGAAAAAAGTATTAAAAAAATTGAAACAACAGTAAAATTTGATGACTTTCTTTGTAGGATCCTTACTTGGTTTAAATGTATAGATAGTAAAGATTACAAAGTAAAAAGTATACACAACTACTATGCTTCTGTAGCTCAGTACTTGAAAGAAAATAGTGAAATTAAGCTATATAAATTGTGGAATTCTTATTATTTCAAAAAAGCTTTGTAAACACTTGATATTAAGATGAAGAAACTTCAGAATGCAGATTTGGGAAAAATAAACCAAGCATCTGTGTTAAGTTCTAATGAGATTGTTTAAATACTTGACTATAAAAAATACAAACTGATACTTATGAGGGTTTGGTAAGATGGATATTTTTTGGCTATCACTTTTTTGCAGTCTTCGCAGTGGTGATGCCAGAGAATAGACTTTAAAGATATATTACTGTCATGATGATAGTGGTCTTTTTCTAATATTTAAACATGAGAAGAATAATCAGTATGAGACATTAAAAAGAAATAAATATGAGAAAAGCTCTATGTGAAAGATTTCTATTTCACCAGATAATGTCAATAATTAATTTTACCTATACAAGATATATTACAAATGATATTATTACATCTTGTGGATGCCTGTTTGTCACTTTTTTAGAGACTACATAAGCAACAAAAGGTTTAAAATATTTATTGTTTTGAAATTTTTTTTATCTTGTATTTTTACTAATGATTTTTTTTTGCTAGATATAAATAAAGGAATTATTTTAAAAAAAAACTAAATGAATATAAACAAGTTGAATACAATGATGGCAAAAATAGCAGAGCTAATAGTCATTAATCTTGATAATAGTCATAAGATTAGCAACCACTCTCTATAATATATAGTAATTCAAAGGTTGAAAAATCTGGAATTTTCAGAAGACAAACATATAAAATTTTCTAGGCACTATAGTAGAGAAAAAATTTAGGTATATAGCAATGCAAACGATAGTCAAAAGCTTAGGAATATGTCAATGCTAATCACTCTAGATCTTGATAATATTCTATACAAAGAATTCAATTATTTTCCTGAAGATGCCAAATTTTATTGTTTAATTCTCTATATGTTTATTTTTATTACTATTATGTTTTACAATAAAAATAACTACCAGAAGCACTGTCTAAATCACCAACTGAAGCAATATCTGAAGCATTACCTAAACCACCACCTGAAGCATTATTGCAAAGACAATTGCTTAAACCACTGCATATATCAAAATTGTATGCACTATTCAAACCATCTTTTAAAAAGTCAAATATTTCTTCTAAAATTCTAAAAACATCTAATATTTGGAAAATATTACAAATTCCTTAGCCTTCATCATTGAGATTTTTTACACAACAAAAATCATATATAGATAATATTTTTAACCATATTATACCTATAACATTAGAGATAATAAAAGTAAAATAAACAATAGAGAAGTTTATTATCATTTTCACTACCATTTTTTTTT